TTCTATCAAGCCTGGCGCTTCTTCGCCTATAAGTGAATTTGAGATGTTTAGTCAAATCAATAAAGCTTTTATATCCCAACAAACTCATATGGCAATTTCCTAAAATCTTTTCAGAGARTCAGTTGATTACTAAATTGATCAAAAAGCCGGTTTTCCGATTGGCTGAGCTCGATTCCCCTCCATTGCGAGTGAGAAAGCTGCTCAAAAATTGATTGACATCATGCCATAAAATTTGTAAAAACGAGATCAAATATCATCAAGGAAGCAGATGATTTATTATGACCAATCGTTGTGGAAATACCTTAGTTATTACTCATCAAAATATAAGATAAGTAATATCCGTCCCTCCTAGTACTGATTAYATAAATACAACCTTGAATTCGCATTAGAAGCCTGACAAAAACCGTTACATCTGATGAACATCAAAATAGGTTGCTCACTCGGACTAGAGAGATGGAGAAATTACTTCACATATTCCCACATATTAAGCCYAGTAATGTATATATTTTAAATCAATCGTAGTGGCGAAACCACTATGACTTAAAAAAAGAATTCAAGATAAAGTTTTCCGGTTTATATGGCGCCACTAACTGACCAACAGCAGCTTCTTGGTCGCTGACGAAAAAACAAACCGAAAAGAACCGTTTTGTTTGCTAGCTCATTAACTTAACAAGAACATATTGCAGGCTTTTTGGTATTTAAAAAACTCCATTTATGTTTAGTTCTGCAATACTTGAGCAATAAAAAACAGACGTTAAAAACAAAGTAAACCCCTTGTTTTTGGGTATTTTTCACTAACTGAGCTTCAAACATGCATAAAACTCAGCTTTAAGCATAAAGCATCAGTTTGCAATGTTGTTTGCCAGACATGTTATCTCTCCACAAAGGATTCATTTTAGCAGTAATGGCATTGCGATATCGGCCGGCATAATTTCTGAACGAATTGTTTATAACTTGAACATTTTTACATAACGATGATAAATACTGAATTATTCATATTTTTAAAGCACTTTTCAGTATAAAGAAAAATGTCTGGCTTATTTAAGGTTTAATGAAACTATAAAATGGGGTAGCAACTACATAAGTTGCTTGATATACTGCGCAGATCAGCTCAATTAGACGGCAGTACAAATATATAGTCTATATATATTYTCATATGGGGTAGATAGGGCTGATTWCARKTTGAAGCCAACTACAATCGACGAGAAACCTGAATTTAAAAAATCTTCCAGCCTGTCTTGTGCTGACTATCAAATCTAGGGTTAATTAATGCTTTCAAGGTTAGATGCTTAAACTGGTGAAACTGGTGTAAAATGTCAACAGCGGAGGGAAAACCAGATTTWAAAAAATATCCCGTTGCGTTATGAAACTTTTCTGGTTGAAATCTTTGCAAATACTAATTATAATCAATAGAAGATCAGGTAAAATACTGTAAATCCAAAAAAAMCCCTGAATTATTCAAGTGCCAGTTATATTCATTACCAAAATGAGTAGTATAAATACAAATGTGCGTTTGAACTTGGTCAAAAAACAATTTGTCAAGACGGTAATGAAAAGAAAGATAATTAAGGTTTATTCTTACAATAATGAGGAAGCAACAAATTAGTACAACATTTGCCAAAGCCAGTTAGCAGAAACACCAATCAACAATAAGAACTTCTTAAACAATTTCAATCATTAGGTGGAAGTTTTCTAAAGCAGTAAAAAATAATCTGACAGATGGTATGACGTCATTGGCGCATGCGCAGTAGTTTATTCGATACTTTACAAAAAAATTTATAAGGTACATCAGAATTCAGTATGTAAACATCTTTATAGGTTGTTTTAAGTAATATCAATGTACTTATTACACCGACGGTAAAGGAAAATAATCTAGACGGCTAAAATTCGGGGTTGAATCAACAGGTAGACGATGCGTCTYCTTCCAAAACACGAAGAAATACCYCGCCGAGTCGATAAGAGCTTTTAAGCCATCTCATTAACACAATACGATGGGGTTTTCCGTAAACGGAAGTATATTCAGACACGCGGAAATTTACCTTGGAAAAATTATGGAAATACCCTTGATAAGTAGATTGAAATCCTGCATAGTTGTAATTTATTTTAGGTTCAGTAGCAGATAAGGTTACTGCCTGTCCAGATAGTTGAAACTAGTTATATATACTTATATACGRAGAAAATGGTTCTTATGTTTGTTTATAAGTCAATATCTAAGCGCGATATCGTTACTGCTTTACTACRCGTCATAAACATATTTTAACTAATAGATTTTAGCCTTTATTGATTTAAAATAAGCTTAATCTTAATTTGTTAGGTCTCTCTTGATTCAAAGGGTTTTTCCCCAGGTTGTCCAGTTTTCCCCCTGATCTGCGGCAAATCCCAATTGCAACACGCTAATCACCGTGCCCTGACTTTGATCAACCCAGAGGTTGTTCAAATGTTCGAAAAAATTGAGATTTTTGTTGCATATAAAAGAATAATTTAAGAAAAATTATGACAAATTCGGCGCCTCACACCGTTTTGATCGTCAATGTAAGCCATGCATTGGAGGTGATCTTCTAACCCCTAACACGRGTATATTCATTTAAAGGCTATTCTTTTAGTCCTTGAAAATAAATATACAACGCCCTAGAAAAGCTATTAACACCATTTTAAAATTTAATTCACGTAATAGATCAGAATAAAGAACTTCAATCCGTCTAGAATCGAACGAGTTCCACGATGTTCTGCTATAATTGAGGTGGCTCACCTGCTAAAACACGTAAATAAACACTACCCAGCATCGAGGCTCATTAACCTGATCAGCAAGAAAGAAATAATGGTCAAAAACAGCTGAATCATCTTCATTCTCACTTAATCTAAGGTGGAATTTTAGAATTTGATTATCTGTATTAGGGTGAGATAACTCATAAAGCGTTAGGAGTGTTATTGTGCTTTACTTCTCAGAATACAAGTTTAGYTATACGACGAAAGTCCATCAGATATACAACGAATAATAATCACGACGATTATGCAATATTTGGTCTTAGAACTTAGTATATAAGATAAATAAGACAAACATTTCGTCTTTACGCTCTTAATCTAGATGATAAAAGAATTATTAACTTTTCAGCTCGTTTCAAAAAATTGAGATTTTTTGTTAAAATCAAACCGAAATTTTGTAGATAAAAATACCGCGCGTGGGCACAAAAAAATATATTTAGGTGTCTCTAGGTGTCAATGAATATATACGTATGTGTATGTAAATACGTTTTGATATTCGGTGGGGGAAAAACATACCATATTAAGTCAAAAGTTTCTCTGCTCTCCAACAGACGAAAAAGCTAGGCTTAAGTAAACTTAATTTCACTTTYCTGTACAAAGTTAATCAATTTTTCTTAGTTCAAGTCGTATAGTTAATTTTAATGAATTTTCTTAAAATGGTAGAATTTTACATTCGTTAAGTTATTTAGAATGATGAAGAAAATTATCTACAGATTTAATTTTCGWAATAAAATAGCGATTCACAGTTATGAGTGAAACAACCTTCTTGAATATTTTTGCCGAAAACGTCTTACGAACGGCTAAGACCCTTAAATCGAAAATACGTCTTAATCAAAATAAAACTTAAACATCCTTTGTTCAACAGGAAAATCTTGCTTCCAATTACCGATGCAGAAAATAGAAAAAAGCGGTTTTATTTCAAGATGTTATGAACTCAATGTGATGCCAGTAAGTTGTTCGGATCACGTAGCAAGCCTCGTAGCTTCTATAACCCGTGGGATACCGCTTTTCATCGCTTCAAAAACGCGTAAACATTCAGTTCCTTCCAACGCAAACAGTTGACGTCACAAATGAATGTCATTCTAAACGGAGATAATTCATAACAAATTCAAGCACAGCGAACGAGAAAGAGGAGATTAAAATAAGAACACTCTCTACATCCGCCATTAGATCGTGAAACAACAAGAATTCTCTCTCAAAAACGACAGTTTTTTCAGTTTCGTATTTTTCATTTTCCTTTAGCCAAAACTCGATATTTCACGAAATATATTGCATATTTAATACGTTTCCCGTTTAGGAGGGATTATAAATTATTTTGGTCATATCAGTCCAAATCTACGATGCGTGGTAGCTTGTGCAACAATGAGTACATCTCTGGTGACATGATGAATACATTTAGGCGTTAACTCGGTGTAGGATGATGTATTTTAGTATTCGTAATAACAACGCTTCGATCGTCACATCCTTAAGTAACATCCCTGCATTTGCGTATTTGATAAAAATCCTTGACTAATTTAATAATCTCAAAATTGTACAATACTAAACATTGGCAAACTAATTCTGAACGTAAAAAGAAAAACGACAAAAACCATAGCTATATATTCTACTTCCTCTTCAAGTCTAGGTAGAGTTATTTAGATTTATACACGAAGGGTAAAATCCTATGAAGAAAAACAATAGACAACAGGTATAGGATTTGGTGGCGTTATTTTGTTTAACAGGTATGACCAGCGTGGGAAAGTTCGAGGACTAATTTTAGGAGAAAAGTTGCAAAACTTCATTACGACTTCATGATTATGTGCAATTTTTTAACATCAACTCCGCTTCCTATAAATKTCTGCACCCCTTGCACATTCTAATTGACGGAATTAATACATAATATATTTTAAGTAGAGCAAGTGCAAAGAAATTAGTGTCTACCAGTAGGTTAAAAAGGAGTATATTATACTGATACCAGAGAATGCCAAGTCGAATATCGTCTACCGGTCTATACTGGTAGTAACCACACGTTAAAAATTCTTGTTTTGCAAAGCCGAAAACGAAATTTCCACTACTGATATTCGTTCGATTTCACTCGTGAAAAAAAAAGTCGTCTATCCCTAAAAAGAATCGAAAGTCACGAATCATAGGATACGCACGTTTACAGATAATAAGTAATACTTTTTGAATAGCCAGTAATCTAAGTCGAAGACATGAACAAATAATCCTTAATAATCCCAACAATTGGTAGCACTCACGATCAGGCAAGTGACGTAGAGAGCCGACTAATGTAGACTGTTGGTCTGATGAACTAGAATTTTAAAAAAACGTATAGAATATAAATTATATACAACTTTTTAGCCACCAAATTATACCTACTCTTCTAACGTTTGCTCTTGCGAAGTTTTTCAACTATACTTTAACCACTAATTAAATTGCAGGGCAATATTGGACGATTTCCGAGAGGTAAAATTGTTTGTAGTTAAGGGGAAACGTGCTTCGATCGCCGTGTGCGGTTTTGGACTTTAAAATCAGTTATCTTCGGTTGCTGTCATAGAGTTTGTGATGAACTTATCTTGAATAATTTATAGATTGAAAACTATAAAAAAGTTGGGATTTTTCATTATGCTCGCGTACAAGTTTAGAATACTTACGAGATTTTGTAGAATTTCAAATCGAAGTACAATCTTTTTTTTAACCAAATTATCCATTGAAAATAAACGCCGTCAACGAAAGCTTTTCACACTTCCCCAACACTCGTTTACGATAGTAATAACAAGTATTAAAAACAAGAAAATGATATATAAAAAAGAAAAAAAAAACCGGTTTTCTTGGTGAAAAACTAGGCTAAATAAATATGAAGTAAAACTCGTTTTTTGTCGCTGTGATATTCTTAGGTTCTTTAATTATAGTCATCCAAAAATTGAATTTCTCTGGTCATTTTTGAGTGACCACAGTTTTTTCGGGCTATTTTTTCCTATGAGATTTTCCGAACTTAATACAGAGGCAAAACATCTGGTTCAGGTGGCAACAGCCAATCAGCATCGCGCGTTGACGGCTAYTCAGTGACGACTGCATAAATAATAAGGTCAATACATTAATGACCTAGGAAGAAAGATAATAGCTTCAATTTGAATAAGAGAGAAAGAAACAAATTAGTAAGGCGATAGTTCGACGARAAAAGGCTTGAAAACAAAACACTGGGTTTTGTTTTGTCCTCGAAAAAGTCTGAACGAGTTAGTGTTTTATCTTTGGGGAAGTCATTCGATGGCTTAACACGAAACAAATTCCCGCCAATTTTGCTGGTTTTGTGCAACCGCGGTAACGAATTACGCTCGCAAAAATGGACGTTTATTCCTGTCAATGCTATGATTGACAGCCACCTGGTCATCTCTAAGCACGTGGGCTATGTAGTGATCTTAACTCCGTCACCTGTCTAAAACCTTAGTCAATCCAATCGCGACAAGATCGGTAGAGAAAAGACCCGGCACCTGCCAGTGAACGAACTACAAACGTCGCTTGTGATTGGCTGTGTTTTGAAATTTCCATAGCGACCTCATTTTCAGCCGCCTTGAAAGCAGGTTGCTCAACATTCAACAGGTTGATTTTTTCAGTCAGGAAGAAAAACTTGAGAGCCGCTCCCTTCTAGTGTATTTGATATCAAAATTTATGCTTAGAACTCGTAGAACGGTTATTTTTCGATCTTCTCTGACGCACATGACACGCGTAATTTTCTACATGACAAAATACTTGCAAAGAAAAGACAAAAAGCTCTTGTAATTTTAGATTTTTATTTTCCTTTGAATTTAAAAACAATAATTAAACATAAAAAAGAATAAAAATATAGGGCAATTATAAATCCTTAGAAGTCGTAAGAAAACTGAGAAAGTTTTAAGACAGAAGTTAGAAATGTGTTAAGTTACGCAACGATGATATTCAATAATACCAGTTCGCGATTCGCTCTAACTGCGGACTTGTCTGAACACGATCGTGAAATAATTATTCAAGCTACCCTAGGGTAACTTTATCTCTAATCCCCTGGGATGACTATTCTGTTCTCTAGTAATCGTTGAAGACGCGCGAATACCGAATCAACACACGTCGAAAAACTAAAAACAAAACACAACCTAAAACCAAATAGCACTGAGATAAAAGTATGTTTCGCAATATTTTTGGGAATGTTAGAAGTTCTAGTTCAAAATAAGCGGGATGGTCTGTAATCGTAGGATTCGACTGTTGACATATTATGACAATTCGTTGACAAATTACCAATAATCTTAYGTTGTGCCATTAGCATTGCAAAGTCCTATTGTTTCAAACACGTGGCATACATCTTCCAAAACATTTTTATCAAGCATCATCAATTTGTAGAAAAGATAAAAAACCCCAGCGCTCGAGAATCTCCTCGCCGTTAAGTTACGAAGAGTATTTTTCGCCCCACTAGACAAACAAAAAATCAAAAAAAATTCGCTAACTCCTCAAGGATTCCATGTGTTTTCGTGCCGAGAAGGCGACACGCGACCCACAGTGATTTAAAAAGGACAAGCCGAAAGTGACTATGCTTGCGCGATGGAGCCAATCAACGTCCAAGACGATTTCTGTGGGAGGGAACTTTAAGCGTTTTGAGGGATCCTGATTGGTGGATTTGGGTGGACTTTCTATGACGTGTCGTCCCGCGTCACACATAAGCCAACGCAAATTCCGGATTGATTTATGAAATAGAAATTACCACCAAACGATCGACAAGTGTTCATTCTAAAAAACACTCGCAACTCAAACGATCTTCTGTAGAGAGCACAGTCGTGGACTGCAGTCAGCTGATAGTATMGTAGGATTTTTCCATCCTTGCCTTAACAACTCAAGCGTCAGCAACAACACTAGTAATTTGGAGAAGTAGGAGGAACGAGACGAGGATCGTTTTCTAATTATTATAATTCTTGGTTCAGGAAAAAATCAGAAGCCGTGATGATGATGGTGTTCCAAGGGAATGATCAGTTTCGCGCTTCGCCGAGTCCACCACCAACAAGTGTTATCTCGTCAGCCCTCGATGATCAGCCTGAAAGCGCATCGGAGAGCAAGAAGAAAAGTGACCTACAACACGTCAAACGTCCTATGAACGCATTTATGGTATGGAGTCAGATTGAACGCAGGAAGATGGCCGAGGAACATCCTGATATGCACAACGCAGAAATTAGCAAGCGACTGGGCAAACGCTGGAAGCTGCTATCTGAAACTGAGAAGAGGCCATTTGTAGAGGAATCAGAACGACTGAGAATTCGTCACATGCAAGCTTATCCAGATTATAAGTATCGTCCACGCAAGAAAAAGCAGCCCGCCAAAGCGAAACCCGGGTCCACGGAGGCCAAAACAACAATCTGTAGTAGTAATAGTAAGGACACTGGTATTYCAAAAAATATCCACGTCGCTTTAGGCACCAAGCGAGAGGCACTACCTGGATCACATACGTATCATGGATTAACCTCTAATAAGAAGTTTACGACTGGTGAGGCAAGCTATAAGAAAGCGCGCCGTGATTTAGTSTCTCCGATCACGCCGCCTCCAAACGTTCCTGATTCCGTCGGCGTGACTCCAGAAGATCCCATAGATCAGCTATCCCTCTATGAAGATTTCGAGCAAGCGTTCAAGAGTGAACAGACCCAACCGCAACTCAGCAACAACATCGGGAATCATCATCTACACGGTCAAAACCAACAGATACCAAGTGCCTGGCCAAACTTAGAACTGACTAACTTGAATCTTAATAATCTTCCAGTGTCGCCTCTCTTTGACATGTCAGGGGCGAATAGCGGGCAGTTTGACTTTCCCGATTTATACACACCACCAGAAGTATCAGAACTTATACAAGGACAGTGGATTGAAAATAGTCTAGGACAATTGTAGTTTATAAGTAATACTTATTTTTTGTTTGCTTTTCTAGCTATTTTGAAATCAAGGTCGTTGATGCTCGTGAGTTTTCTTTATACAAACGGGACGAGGTCTTGTTATGTAAGACTTTTGGATTTTTATGGTCCCCAAATTTTATATAACTTCGAAAGCCTATTAGCTGTCTTTATACAAACGGGACAAAGTCTTTGGCTTGTATTTTTTATAGTTCCTCTAATCAAGCATTTTATATATCTGCTAAAACTGAATTGCCCATTTTTCTATCAGCTATTCTTGAGATATGAATATTTTTCTTCTAACTGAAGACGAATTTGTTTTGTAACTACTATCGTATTCTCGTTTTAGAGAGGCTATCGTGACTTGAACAACAACGTATTACACAAGATGTATTTTTACCAAAATTTGCTGCCTTTGGAATGCTAGGAAAAGGATAGCATATTGTAAATATCAGAAAAGGAAAAAACAACGAAAATATAAATATTCTTATGAACTATTAGTTGTTTATGTATCCCACTTTAATGGATTTTGCACTGGATTTTGCACTTTGGTTTAAAAGAATTTAAACACGTTAAGATTCCTGCCTTCCTTGCGCCCCCAGTTTTGCTGCCGTATTTTGGATTTCACGGGGTACAGAGTACAAACGTTATCAAACAGTATCATAAGCACGAGCGCTTCAGTAGGGCGCTCTATTAGAAAGTTCACACGAGCTTAAGAATTCATAAGCGTTTAGAAAGCTGCTCTCAACGCTCCGGTGAACAAGCTGAATTYTTCATAACATCAGAGGGAAATTGTTTTACGGGTACCCAGAACAMCTACAAGTGCCATCAGTGTGTCTTTCAACGTGTGGACCTCTGACGTGGAACAAGGAATCAAGTCTGTCTTTCGATTGGCCAGTGTTTTTCATTCCAACTAGATTTTGCTGGTTGTACTTGTGTGCAAAGAAGCGCTATAAATTTTTCGGGTGGGGTTTTGGGAAAAAAACATCTGGAATTTTTCAGACAGGATATACATAACCGCTGATCGAAGACAATTTGATTAACCATGATCGCCCGGTTTATATGAAGTCTGACCATAAAACCGATTGATACTAGTTTCAACTCACTCGCGGTTGTAATGGCGAACTTGAGTTTGACAAGCTAATGGTTCTGCTCACACGCTCTGATACGCAGATCACTCAAACAGCACCCTAGACTAGCAGTCAGTTCATTTAACCTTATTTTAAACTCAATCACATCCAATAAAAAATTCGAAATTTTTGAATTTTATTATTCACTTGTTTACGAATAAAGTTTAATTTTTCTCGACCAACGGTAAAATGTCTGATAATTATCGCTGATTACAGCATCAAACGATATGGACGCACCCCACGCGGTAGCCTTGGGGCAGACCTTGACCCGCGTGCTAATCCAAGACAGARTAGAAAACTTTCACGCCTTTAGATTCCAATGAATGGCTTGGAATTCAAAAAGGATGAAGGATCTYGTGTTCGGTAATGAAATGTTTGCCGAGGAAAAAAGAAAAGGACACAACATTTTGGCAGGCGTTTTTTCAGGTTATAAAGCTGTTGTTGGCTATTTGGTCAGTTCAAGTGGTCAAGCGTTCGTTGGCACGCGCCGGAACGTGGTCCATTATCCGTTGGCCAATCAGCGCGCGCGCTATTTCAAAACAGTCAACAATGACGAACAATGGCGGGTCGCGTGCGGTCATGACGCGTTCATTTGATTGGCTGATCCAAATTAATCACACATGTAGCTCTGTAATCACGATGCCTCCGGGTTTTTCTTGTTCATAAACTTTTTTCAGRGCATTTTAGTCTCTCTTTAGCCTTTTTAGTAATGTCTAATGGGGGCAATCTGATCGTTAAACGCATTGGAACGTACGATCTAACAGGGTCCCGCCTAGGCAAGGGAAATTTTGCATTTGTTGAACTTGCTATCAATCGCATAACGAAATCTAAGGTATGRCATGCATATTTCGTGTGGTAAATGAATTTGCAAGTCTAAGCTTGTGTAAACAAAGGGTTAATAGAGGAGCATTATGAGTATTGTTTTATTTTGTGTCAATGATCGCCAATCTAATCTCTAGTCAACTGAACCGAAATAAATAAAACTCCTCTCATGCTTGGCTTCRCAGGTTGCGGTGAAAGTCATCGACACGCGAAAAATCAAAGATGAGTACGTCAAAAGAAATATCCTCCGTGAAGCGTTCATACTTAAAAAAATCCAGCACCCGAACGTCGTCAAGCTCTATGAAACCTTAAAACAACGAGGCGTCTACTGTTTGGTAACTGAGTACGTTGCAGGAGGTGAACTCCTGGGTTTCATACGATGTCAACCAGAGTCACGACTTTCCGAGTCGCAATCCAAACCAATCGTACGTCAAATTGCTTCAGCACTGCATCACCTACACGAGCGAGGAATCATCCACCGGTATGAGTTATAATCAGCAATAATTATCCCGATAAATAATGAAAGCATATTTGAGGGTAAGGTATATTAGGGGTCACGTCTGTCGCGATTGTCTTTGATTAGCATGACAGCTTAGTGAAGCCGGTTGAGCTATTGTCAAGMTAAGCCTCCCATTATTTTGGCGCTCACTTACAACACTAAGAATTGTTTATACACGTTTTTTTGTTGTTGATGTTTTGTAAACCCCTGAGTCTATTTTGGAAGCGTGGTTGCTTGGGAACGTGGTGGTCATTCGGTGGAATGTCCATTCCGTGGGGGTTTTTGTTTGTGTGCACATTGTTTGTGTGTGTGTGTCTGTGTTCTACGCCGCGTGGCCATCATGGAAAACAAGAAAATTACAGACAACCTCTATTTATATTGCTAAAACGATCTTCACTAAAAATCCAAATTTTTTTTTTCGTAAGACTCCCGGGCAGCCTAGCTCCTACCTGGGGGAGCAGGACAAAGTCATACTATAAAACTCTCTGAAAAAAAAAATTTTTTCTTTAGCTATTTTAAAAAAGAGTACCATGTCCTTTATGTCAAATATATGTAACAGTTATTTCGTAACTACATATTAGAATCTAAGAAACGGTTTTCCAAAAAAAGCCATGGCTGAAATGTGAAAAAACACGAATAAATTCATGTCATTATCAAGGTGGATTCACCTGATTTTTTTAACCCTCCATACTCGATTAAGAGAGTACAAAAGAGAGGTTTTATATTTGGATGGCTACGCCCGCCATTTGGAGACCTTTTGAGACCTTTTGTTTTTTTGTACCTAAAGTCTGTCTATAATTCCCGGCCACGAATATAATTAGGTGCATTTTTTGAAGGGGGTTTCCGAGTGACCGTATACATTACCGTAACTATGAGAAAGAAAAAGGAGTTACTTCCGTAGAAATAACACCTAAAATTGACAGACCCTTTCAATTATAGTTGGGTATTAATTAGGATTCAACCCTGTCAAATCTTTGCTTATTCGAAGTTTTTTTTAATTAAAAGCTACTTATTTCACGGCAAGGAACCAGGGCCAACGGTACTAATAGTGAGAACTTGAAACCTTATAAAGAAATGATCTAAAACATTTCAAAAAGGACGAAAAACACCTAAAAATTGATTTCTTGTCACCTAGAAAAGCAGAAATAGAAGACTTCCCTTTTTCACATAATCCGTGGAAGCTCTTTTTCCTTTCGTTTTCAAGGGCATTTACACATATTGCAAGTGATGTGCATATATATTGATTATGAGAGAGTCTAGCATATAAATAGCTTCCTGTGATTATTATACCAGCTGGAGAATAAGTTCTCTAGATTTCAATGCCACTATCACTGTAATTATACATTAATATTAATCAAGGCGCGGCTGTCGACTATTGGTCTTATCTGCAGCCATCTTTAAGGTAGCTAAGGATTAGAAAAGCATTGGAAGGAAATGAAAATTGACACCTTAGGCGAAGCTCAGAGAGAGGTCCACAAGTGGGATTAAATGTAAAGTGGTTTGAAAAGTTTTGGGGAAATAAATCAAAAAAGGGATTTATTATCAACCCCTATCATTTAAGTGGTTTTTCTTCCAAGTAACGTTGTAAATTAATTTATTTTAGAATATAATAAAACTTCATAGCAAAGTACAATTTAGTTTATCAATGTCGTAGATGAACTCTTCGGATATCTAATAATTTGAACATGTAAGAGTGTTTACGTTTGGTTAAGGAGGTAGGGTCGCAGAAAACGCTAGAATATCTTTAAATTTACCAACAGCAACTTTTTCAAGGTCGTTTCCTAGTTTTGTTAGCCATTATTTGTGCGAACTGAGAATTTTTCCGTCTTAAACGACCACAATGTATTTACATGTATTAAAATCTCAACGCTGAAGGAAAAGTTCAACTAATATTTTTAGCATTAAAGGTAGTAAAAGAAAAAGAGGCAAAAAAATTAAACGTATTTTAATTTGTTCATTTGAATTTATGCAGAGATTTGAGAATAATCTAGCAGTCAATCAAAGTCAGTAATCAAACATTCAATGCTTTTCCGTTTCAAACTTTCCTCTCTTTTCCCCCCTTAACAATCTATTTTGAATCATTTGGAAGTAAATTGTCAGAAAATTYTAACTTTTCATTGTGTACAATTGTTCAATGTAAACAGGGAAAACCATAACATGATAATCTTAAYATTCACCGGTAGAACTCATATTTGTAATTCTATACCATTTTCCGYTCATAGTAATTGAAAACTTAGACGAAAAACTCACATTTTGGCATATTATCTCTTGAAGAGATTACGTCACCTCATTGCATCTCCACGTGAAAAATTTCACCTGCTAGGATTATAGCTCGAAAAAACTTAAAACCAAACTGCAAGTTTTTTATCTTTTCTATTCAACTAATCTTCTCTCTTCTCTTGGTTTTGTTTCACACTATATATCGATATATTTATTATCGAGACTAGCAATTTTTTCCCATGAATAATACCGCTAAGTATCATTAATATTTACAAAGTCATTTTCTATTTCGACTTAATCTAAAGATAAGAAGTTTAATAGATAATTCTTCCATTAAGTTTGGAGATTTAGTTTGGTAGAGCACTAATCAATGGGAACATCTTCCGTCCGAGATTATAATTACAAAGATGAAAAAAAAATTAAGGGAAAATATGAAAAATTAATCGATAAAAAACATCCAAAAATAAAATCCACTT